ATTGTCGTTGTGACGAGACTTGATGTGTAATTTCAGCGATGAGCCTTGAGTGAAGGCAGCTCCACAACCGGAACAAGTATACGGCTTGTCGCCTACAAGAGGGAGAGGGTGACAGTTAGTTAGATCGCATAAACAAGCACGACTCAGCTCCCAGCTCCTTCTAACCCAGGGTTAAACATGGATAACCGATTATGTAAAACAGACCAGAAGTGACTGGTTCAGTTTCTGTTGTTTTCAGCAACGATGCTGATGACCGAAATGAGTGGCACGACAACAGCAACAGCGCCAGCCTTTCGGGACTGGCATATGAACTCCGATCTCGAGAAAGACGGCCGAATACGGCATGCTGACACTGTGCAAGTGCTCTGAAACAACCGCACATGTAAGCCTCTGTAGGCCCATGCTTGAAGTCTTCTATGACAGCGAGCCCTTCGTCTGGAGTTCGGTTACCCAAAGCGATTCCGAAGTAACACAATTGCCAATGTTAAATGAGAACTGTTGAGCTGAAATGTATGCATGAGTAAAGTTATAGGCGCCTATTTATCATGATCTGCTCAAATCGTATCAGCAGGGACTTGTTTTAGGTTTATGTACGACCTAGATATCCGGATTGAGCGTGACCAGTATCACAGCACTTACAGCAGGTGGCGTACTTCATATAGCATTAACCAAAACTCTGAACTGTGATTTCAGTCAGATGGGGTTATAGTACTGAGTATTGTGGCAAAATCATCTCAAAAAATGTTAGTCACATCAAGATGTTGGTTTGTGAATGTTTATTTTTTCCAGTCGCCCTTAAAAACGTTCTCACTCAGCAGAAGTACGTATGCATCGTTAATTTGAGATGACCCTATAAATCTAAGTTTATTTCCTAGAAAGCACGATAATTAAATCTAGTACTTTACTTTTTTGTAATACAGTATGTCCTTTTTAAAGTTATTTACTTGCTGAGACGGCATCCTTCGGTTTAAAAACATGTACCTTACTATGACATCAGTCTCGTTTCTGCTGCTGTCTATGGTAATTGGGTTCAATCGTGGATCCTAAACGTTAAGCGAATAAAGTTGTTGTCCCAGCGATCGCGTCTACTTATTCTCAGAGAGCAAGCTGTTAGATCGACAAGCCCATTTCCTTACTTGAACTCACACAGAAGTCTACCATCAGAGATAAAAGCGACAGCAGAACAAGCAACAGTTAGGGGCCAATCAAACACCAGTAACGCCAGTCCGGAGGTAACTGCGCAGGGCTCTGCGTACCGGCACCAGATCGATTAATCGATTGATTGAGTCTTCGTCGGAGGCCCGAGCTTTAGCTAATTCCCGGTTTGTTTTGCTTCTGGTGCGGGCGACTTCGAAAGCTGAGATGAATAAAGAAAGGCTTCCGGGGGTCGAAAGGCCCTCATTTTCCTCCATATACATACATCTGCAATGCGAACATTCGTCTCAACAGCTTACATGTCCGTTTATTGATGCTTCTTGCAACGCCGCAAATGTATAGCTCTACGTGGTGCCTTCTTAATATTATCAAGGAATGTATAAAAATAA